CAGCCCTTGTTCATAGAAGTTCACTAAATATTTGTGTAATCCACCCCTGCTAGAATGTTTACATGATAAATTACATAAAATTTAATCAAGATATCATTTTTAGAGAGAAAAAATTGTTATAGAACAGGTGTCAGCAAACTTTCCTAGTATGGTGGTAAATATTTTAGGCTTGTAGGCCATATAGTTTCTTTAGCAACTACTCAGTCCTACTATTGTAGCATCAAAGCAGATGTGGATAATACATAAATGGACGAACATGACTGTGTTCTAATATAACTTTTTTTACAAAAATGAGTGACTAGCTCATGGGCCATTGTATACCAATCCTGTTACAGTAAGTCTTTAAAAGGTATATTGTTTCCACACTAAAGTATCTAAAAAATTATAAACAAAAAGTGAAACTAAATACCGTGGTCCATCCCAATATGAATAAATGAATAAACTGAAATGTTTATGAGGAACGGGATTACATGGAGAAGCCTGGCAGGCACCATCTTAAAGTGAATAACATCAGTAATAGGATAAATGTAACTTACACATCACTTAACAGGAGGCAGTGAGAATAATGCAAAATCACATGTGATATTTATGCCAAAGATCTGTAGCTAAAAATCATGAGGAAACATAAAAAACAAAACAAACAAAAAACCCTGAATGAGGTCCATTCTATAAAATAACTGATCTGTAATCTTCATAAATACCAAAATCATGACAGTGAAGGAAAACTGAGGAGCTGTGCCTGGAAGGTGGCAATAGAGACATGACAACAAAATGCATCTGCAGTGTGAAGGGACCAGATTCTGCCACCCTGAAGCTGCTTTTTGGAACACTGACTTTAAGATGTTTATTAAGAAACAAAGACTCAGAAAGAATCTTTGACCCTCACCCTTTTTTTACCCAAGACAGAGAAACCTGCTTCAGAAAGGAGATTTTAGGATGTCACCTTAGCCTAATTTGAATTAAGTGCAGGAAAGAAGAGGGCTTCAGACAGGTGGATACCCTCTGTATCACACTGTTTCTGAGTCACCTGGCTAGGATTTTTCTGCCAAGTGTGTTCCCTCATTTTCAACTACCTGTAAACCGTCCATTCTTACTTCTGAAATTGAATACTCCAATTGCCCCATGCCTCCTCCTTTGTCCAAAGATATACCCAATGTTGCCTCCCTGTCTTTGGAATTTTCATGTAATTATCATATCTATGTGAGTTCCCCATGCACATGTATTAAGTTTCTATTTTCTCCTGTTAATTTGGTTATTAATTTAGCAGGTGGGAGGAAATGTATTAATAGATTTTAGCTCCCAAACATGTATAATTCCAAACTGGATCATTGTGCTATACAGAAGATTGTTGAAATAACTGGTAAAATTGAATGTGGTATGAGAATTAAACACTAGTTAATTATTCAATATTTATTTCCTGATTTTGTTGGTTATATTTTGTTTACACAGGAGAATGTCTGCTTATAGGAAAGACACAATAAGTGTCCAGAGTTGTTGAGGAATCAAGTCAGCAGCTTACTCTCAACTGTAAAGTAGGCAGCCAGTTAGATATTCATGAAAGAGAAGGGAGACAGACATAGAATTAAGCTGGCTTAACTAGGTAGCTGCCTCTTCCAGACACTCAAGCAGATAGCAGTGTTGCCTGCCAAAGGGATTAACATTCCTCCTTCCCCCAGTGGGGAGGAAGGACCAGTCTCCCAATCTCCTCAGGAACAACAGACCCCTTCCCACAGATTGCCTGGGGAGGGATAAACAGTGAGGGGGAAATTCCCCTGCTGAGACATGTGTAGTAGAAACCAGACAATGAAGCAGAGCTTCGAGGCAGGTGCAGTAGAAGCCAAAATGGCAACCATACAGGGGACAAGTCTAGCCTGGGAAAATCTGGTAAAATGACCAGATAGGATACGGGTACGAAACCCCAAAAGATCCAGAAAAGGGACTGGATAGGGAGAAGGCCCAGGACAAGCCAGAGAAGGATTAGGAAGAAGACTGGATAGTCTCTCAAGCCCAAGGAAATATAATAATAAAAAAAAAGGCCCAAGGCCTGAGCTCTCGCTCCAGTGCTGGGCTAGAGCCTCATGCCAGGCTGATGGCAGGCCTGGGCCCTGGCCCTTCTCCTGGCTGCATGAGGAAAGTGCAGCCCTGTGCTCCACAGGCTGGCTTCTTCCGCAGGGAGACAGAGCTGAGCCACCTGGTCAGGAATGAGGCATGTGGCAGCCTCTGCGGGGGCACCTATGCCCTGCGTGCCCCTCCAATGCACCCTGCCACACTATACCTGAACTCCTCCTATGCACTGAGTGCCTGGAATGCTTTTCCTGCGACTTTATAAGGACCCATTTCCAGACTGTCTGGCAGATCCGCTTTGGTCCTGGTCCATGTGGGGAAAAAAAGTTGTTTGTATTGTATGTACAGCTTTTCTGTAACTTTGAGACTGTTTCCATTTAAGAGTTTTTAAAATGTCTAAAATAAACAGTGGAGGAGCAGATGTAAAGGACTGCTGCCCTGTATTTAGCAGGACAGCTGGCCCTGCTACCATGCCAGGAGATTCTCCCTCATTTCCTTACCAGGCACATATACTCTATGAGTGTACAGGACAATGACTACGTACACTATTATTCTCCTTTACTTAAGTAGGTAAATAGAAGTAGGTAAATCTCACTGAACCAATAGTAAGTCTTTACTGAACATTACTACATTCTCAGCGTTGAGTGAGATCGAGAAGAAAAGGAACATGTACAGAACATCTGCATGTATTAGACAAGGAGAAAGAAGAATAGCTTCTAACCTTAAGGTCATTAGTTGGGTAGACAAGACTGACATAAGCTCAGTATAAGAAACACAATATAGTAAAGCCTCGAAATAATGGACTAATTAGGGTGAGAGGGTATCTGTTAAAGCCGAAAGTTCGTTATACAATAAAATAGGTTTTCCGAATACGTATGTTAAAAAAATCAACAAATTAGTTTAACTGTTTTTAATTATGTAGAAATGTTTGTATAATTAAAATTAAGTATGTACAAAATGTTCAATTTCACAGAAAAGTTTTCTATATGTATTATAGTCATTTTAAATTTATACTGAATAGGTCTAGTAAATGCGTGCATTTGCCAGTTACATCGAGTAAACAAAGGCACACGGCTGGGGCGTGCCTTAGCGCACACTAAAACATTGGCCAGCGCATGTTAAAACTTCTACAGAAAGTCACTCCAGGTGACAGCAGAACCAATTACCCCACATGATGCAGTGTGATCAGGTGCTAATTATTTGCCAAACATTGTTTATGAGCAGTAACTCTTGGATTTAAATATGTAGACTATAGTTTTATGTATGTAATATTTATTTATATTGGTGAGATTACTACATTATTTTTCTAACATATGGCCTATTCACCAAAATTTGCTAAAAATAACAGTGAAATAATAACAAAAAGTAAGCTGTTAATTTAATTATAAGCAAATCTTGGTTAAAAGCATTTTTAAATTAACAGGGTGTTAATTTTCACGTATGACCTATGGACCAGAAGTTTTGTCCATTAACGCCAAAGTCTGTTAAATTGAGGTCCACAAAATCAAGGGTTATAATTAAGTACTATATATAATTAAGTACTAATTTATATAAATGGGTTAGCTTCACCTCTTACCCCACTATCTCAACTTCATCAGAAAGAGCAATAAGAAGTACCAAGATGCTTAATTAAGACAGACATGGAGATAAGGGTAAAAGTATGAGTCAGCATTGACAGTATAGATATGAACAAACCGAGAGGACAAAGAACCATGCCTCTATGCTGGAGCAAAGAGAGGCAGAACCCTCCCAGATCCTTGGTATTCACGAATCCATTAGCACAGAACTCTCTGCAGGCCATCGTAGCTTCTGTAACATCACTCGGGGAGAGACGAAAAGCACACATGGGGAAGCTGGTGTATAGGCCATCATCAACTGGCCACTGAATAAACCTAGCTGATCACTCAGAATTCAAAACTGGCACAGTCAAGAAGTAAGAAAACAGGTAGGAGTTTAGGTCTGAGATTATTCAAAGGAATTTTCTGAGAAAATAAAATATTCAAATTAACTTGGGATGCCATGAGACAAACTAAGGCAAGTTTTTTATTCCAGAACTTCTTGGAGCCCCAAATGTGCTAATGTACATTGTACACCTATAAGCAGGGGTAGAATCAATTAGAGAGATAGCTACTTTGAGAGGTAGAGCATCAATAACAACTCCTTATGATGCTTCCTAGGAGCCTCACTGTGTCCTAAGGTTTATTTAGTACTTTATTTTACCTTACCAACAACCTTATGGCATAATACAATTATGATCCCTATTTTATTTTGAGAAAATGAGGTATAGAAAGGTTAAATAAATTGCTGAAGGTCATATGACTAGAAAATAGCCAGGATTCAGACTTCACTAATCTGGCTCCAGGACGCACTTTCTTAAGCATTATGTTCTTCATCTTTATCGACAGAATTTTTACCCACTACAAAGTAAATTGTTGGTAGATATTAAGCAAGAATGAAAGACAACCATAGTGATTAATTAAAATAATTACTATAAAAATTTATTTTTTAATGGATTTTATTTTATTTTTTAAATATGTTTTTATTGATTTTAGACAGTGAGGAAGGGAGAGGGAGAGAAACATTGATCAGCTGCCTCCTGCATAGCCCCTACTGGGGACTGAGACAACTCAGGCAAATGCCCTGACTGGGAATCAAACTAGTGACCTCTTGGTGCATGGGATGACGCTTAATCCACTCAGCCACACTGGTTGGCAAGGCTAAAAATTTTAAAAGCCCTATTCAGTGATATTGGGAATAGAGGAAAGGTGGTAAAAATAAATATCTATAATTATAATTATGAAATATACCATAATTACATTTATGATAATCCCTAGCTCATTAAAATTAAGCAGCATTCCAAGCAGAGAATATGCATCCTAACTTCCTCATCCACACTAAGGAAAACAGCCTGGTAAGCACTTTGGAAACGTTCTCACCGTAACTCTCTTCATATCCAGCTGGCGCAGCTGCATCATATTCTGAAGGACAGTGTGTTTGTACCATGACTCTTGAGCTATGGGATTGCCATCGAAAGTGATGTCTGAGAGAGAAGTGGAGTCAGCAAGGCAGCAAACACTCTCAAAACTGCAGAGAAACAGAAAACACTGGATTATTGTGAGACCTCCAAACAATACTTTGATTTGTTTAATAAAAGTTTTAGATATACATAAAAATTGAGAGGATAGTACACAGTTCCCACATGCTCTCCACCCAGTTTCCCCTATTATTAACATCTTATATCAGTATAGTACATTTTAAATAATTAATGAACTAATATCAATACCTTCTCACTAACTCGAGTCCATATTTTATCCAGATTTCCTTGGCTTTTACCTACCGTCCCTATTCTGTTCCAGGATCCCGTCTAGGATACCACATCATATTTAGTTGCCATGTCCTTAGACTCCTTTTAGCTGTGACTTTATTATATTTTCCTTGTTTCTCGATAACCTTGACAGTTTTGAGGCACACTTATCAGTCATTTTGTAGGATGCCTCTTTATTGGGGTTCGTCTAATGTTCTAGTTATGAGACTAGGATTGAGGTACATACTATTAACTAACATGACATCACTGTTGAAGTTTACTTTAATTACCTGGCTGAGATAGTGTTTTTCAGGTTTCTCCAATGGAAATTTACCCTTCCCTCCCCTGAATTCTTTGGAAGGAAGTGATTATGGGCAGCCCATAGTTAGGGGTTGGGAAGTTCTGTTTCCTCTCTTTGAGAGCAAACTATCTACATAAATTATTTAAAATTCTTCCTAGTTGGTTTTTTTTTTTCTGTCATTTATTTATTTATATCAGTTTGGAGTCATGAATATTTATTTTATACTTTGGGTTATAATACAAAACTACTTAGCTTATTTTATTGTTCAAATTGTTCCAGGTTTGGCCACTGGATGCTCTTTCAGTTGATTCCTATGTCCCTTTGACATGCTCCCACCATGAATGTGGACTGTGTGTGCTTCCTGACTCTCCGGCACTACACAATTCTCTAGACTCGTATTATATATTTACTACCCCAGTCCCAGAATCAGCCTTCTCTCCAAGGAACCATGCTCCTTATACTGGAGAATGGTACTAGAAACAAAGATCTGCATATTTGCCATCTGTATAGCTTCTTTGTGTTTTCAGATCTTGTACCCATTTTTTAATGGGTTTCTCTGTTTTCTTATGGTTGAATTGTAATAGTTTAAAAATATATATATAATGGCCCTGGCCGGTTTGGCTCAGCAGTTAGAGTGTTGGCTCACAGACCAATGAGTCGCGGGTTCAATTCCGGTCAAGGGTATGTACCTCGGTTGGGATTCTTCCCCGGCCCTGGTTGGGTCACGCGGGAGAGAACCACTGGAGTGTCCCTTTCACGTCGATGTTTCTCTCCCTCTCTCTCCCCCTCCCCCCCCACCCCCAGTATCTGAACAAAAATGGAAAAATGTTCTCCAGTGAGGATTAAAATATATATGTATATAATGGATACATCTCTTGCCAGATATATGTTTTGCAAATATTTTTCCCAGTCTACGACTTATCTTTTCATTCTTTACTGTCCTTCACAGGGCAGAAGTTTTAATTTTAATGATGTCCAAGTTTATCAACTTTTTCTTTCTTTGATCAGGTTTTTGGTGTTCATTCTAAAAATACATTGCCAAACCCAGAGTTTCCTAGATTTTCTCCTAGATTTTCTACTAGACATTTTATAGTTTTGTGTTTTACATTTAGGTCTATGATAAATTTTGGTTAATTTTGTGAAATGTATAAGGTCTATGTCTGGATTCACTTTTTACATAAATATTCAATAGTTCTAGTACCAATTATTAAAAAGACTGTTCTTTCTCTATTTTTTATTTTTTGTTAACTCTCACCCAAGGATACTCTTCCATTGATTTTTAGAGAGTGGGAGGGAGGGAGGCGGGGAGGGGGGGGGAGAGAGAGAGAGAGAGAGAGAGAGAGAGAGAGAGAGAGGGAAACATGGATGTGAGAGACATTGATTGGCTGTCTCCCTCACAACCCCGACAGGGACTGGGGATGGAACCTGCAAACCCAGACACGTGCCCTTGACTAAGAATCGAACCCAAGACCCTTCGGTCCGTGGGCCAAAGCTCTAACCACTGAGAAAACCAGCCAGGGCTATTCTTTCTCTAGTGAATTGCCTTTGCTCCTTTGAAAGATCACTTGACTATATTTGTGTAAGTCTATTTCTGGGCCCTCTACTCTGTTCCATTGATATATATGTCTATTCTTTCACCAATTCCACACTGTCCTGATTACTGCACTTTTTCTTGTTTTGTTTTTTTTCATCCTCACCTAAAGACATTTTTTTGCATTTATTTTCAGATAGAGCAGGAGGGAGAGAGGGAGGGAGAGAGAAAGAGAAACATCGACGTGAGAGAGAAACATCAAGTGGCTGCCACCCACACGACCGGGGACACAGTGCAACCAAGACACGTGCCCTTAGCGGGAACCGAACCCAGGACTCTCTGGTCCATAGGCCGACGCTCTAACCACTGAGCTAAACTGGCCAGGGCTGATTACTGCACTTTTATGCTAAGTCTTGAAATGGGTTAGTGTGAGTCCTCCAACTTTGTTCTTTGTGTTGCTAATCTAGGTCTTAGCTTTTTCATATAAACTTTAGCATCCTTGTTGATATCTACAAAATAGCTTGCTGGAATTGTGATTGTGACATTCATTTCTTAAAAGAAGTGCATAATCACTCTTCTAAATAATACCCCAGAGCAGGTTGGTAAAATTCATTTATATTAGAGTAATTCTCATTTAATGAATATTCAAATAACTAATGTAAACACTTAGGCCTTAAAGTACTTTCTTTTTTGGGGCACTATACTGAATATCCTTTCTTCCTGTGTTAAGAAAAGGAAAGGAGGGGAAAGGGAGGGGGGTGTCAATGGGGGAAAAATGAGAAACATCTGTAACAAAAACAAATTAATAAAAAATTTAATAAAGAAAAGGAAAGGTAAGGGAGCCCTGGCCAGTGTGGCTCAGTGACTAGAGCATTGTCTTACACACTGAAGGGTCATGGATTTGATTCCTGGTCAAGAGCACATACCTGGGTGGCAGGTTCAATCCCTGGACCCAGTCAGGGTGCATGCAGGAGGCAATCAATTGATGCATCTCTCTCACATCGATGTTTCTCTCTCTCTCCCTCTCCCTCCCTGCCTCCATTCCACTCTTTCTCTAAAAAAAAAAAAAAAAAATGGAAAAAATATCTTTAGGTGAAGATTAACAAAAAAAAAGGGAAAGAAAAGAAAAGATAGGGGATATAGAATATTTATGGTACAGTAAAAAATCTATGTGTTCCTGGGAGAGGCAAGATGGCTGAAGCCTAAGGATGTTCTGTCCGCTTGCTCCTAGCACAGGACAGGACTTGAGGGTAACCTGCAGAATATTTGACTTGAAAAACCATCTGAAAATAGCTCATTAGAAATACTGCAAGTGGGGACAGAAGAAGACATGGAGTGGGTGAGCCCACTTGCACAGCTGCACGGTGCGGCTGAGAAGCCAGAGGGAAGGTGCAGCAGCACAGCTCCTGGCCCCTGGTAGCAGGGGGGCTCAGCCCCACACAGGGATCCCCAAATGAAAGCAACAGAGAAGGGAAGGGGAGCCCATGTAGCATTGAACAGTGGGAATCAGAGGGGATTAGGCCCACGGGGGGCACTCAGACAGCACTATCCCAAGCTAAAAGCCAGTGCTTGGTTACACTACCAGCCTGGGAAGCTTTCCCTGATTATAGTTGGTGGGAGGGGTCACAAAGCAGAACTGTAGACCTGAGGAGGGGTCTGAGCGGATCACCCAGCAGCAAATCTGAAGGGCTGATTATCACTGAAAGAACTTTAATGGGGACTAGTCAGTGCGCCCAGGGAAGGTACGATCCTCCCCACCTCAAGTGAAGCTGAGGTTTCCCTCCCTGACCCCTCTCCCCCATGGAACAGCTCTGGGCTGGAAATTGGCAACCCAGCAGCTAGGCCTGGCAACACTGGGAAATCAGATGTCTGGTCAAGTGGGAGACTGGGCAGAAGCCCTGCCCAGCTAGAATGACTATGCTGAAAGATTAGAGAACCAAGCATGGTGGGTCACCCCCTTTTTGTTTTCTCTGACCTCCCCTATTTAGGGTGGTGACCCAGGGACACCAGCAACCCAGGCAGAGCTGAGACATTGGAAGGAGAGGAAGTGACTGCCTGGGCCTCTAAAAGCTACAGGCACCACCCCCAATACAAATCTGTTTAACCATCCTGACTGGACCTGATACCCCTCAGAGCTAGTTTTGTGAGGGAAAGGAAAGTAGTACAGAACAAATACATTCAAGAGGTGAGCCTAGAAGCAGACCCAACCTCTGGGCTAGGGAAGCCATGACCACTAGACTACTTGGGGTCCTGCCATTCAGGGTGTCAGCCAGGTGGCCCAGGGCCAGGCAGGGACAGGAAGTTCTATACCAGAGAACTTCCTGAGAGGGCAGAAACTCACACACCAAAGGGCCAGACCCAATAACACTGGAGCAAAATTCAGTGAGTTACACAAATATCAGATCCAAAGATTTGTTTTTGTGGTGGTAGTTGTTTCTGTGTGTGTGTTTTTCTTTTATTTTGATTTTTAATTCAAGTTTTTTTCTTCTTTACTTTTTCCATATTTTACTTTCCTATTTTATATTTTATTTTATTTAGCATTACTTTCTAAATGTATTATTATTTCACTCATTATTTTCTACCTTTTAATTTTTATACTTAGCCTATTTCTGATCTCTGCCTTCTTTTCTTTCATATTCTTTTTTTCCCCCTCCTCTAATTCTTTTGGTCTCATGCCTTCTAGTATGCTTTTCGTGTGTGTGTGTGTGTGTGTGTGTGTGTGTGTGTGTGTGTGTTTTCAGTCTGTTTGTCTTTTAATATTTTTGTTGAGGCTGTTGCTTTTATCATTTTTGTTGCTGATATATTGTTCAGGTTCTTTTTGGTTTGGTCTGGTATTGCCTAATCTTGTTCTCTCAGCATCTATATAAGAGCACAACTGGGTTGGGGTTGAGACTCACAGTCAACAACCCTGAGGGCTGAGCTCATCCAAAAATGGACAACAGCAATGAAGACACAAATTCAACAGTAGAACGACATGACCCACACAAGTGTCATTCCTAGAGCACCCAGATCAGAAGATCAAGGAGACTACTCCATTGGGTCCCACAAGAAGGCCACCCTACCAAGACTGGAATGTACATCAGCTTTATCTGACACACACTGACCTGCTACACATCCCAGTGTGCCTAACCTGGCCCAGAACTACCAAACTGCTAAAATGGTAAGACAAAGAAACAACCCCAATGAAAAAAGGAGAAATAACCAGAAAAGAAACTAAACAAACTAGATTCAAGCAGTTTTTCAGATAAAGAATTCAAAGTAATGGTTTTAATGTGCTCAAATAACTTAGTGAGAATTACAAGCAATTTAATGAGAATTATAAAAAACTAAGTGGGAACTACATCAGCATGAAAAAATAGGTAGAAGCTATGAATAAAAATCAAGTGGAAATAAAGAATGACATAGCAGAAATAAAAAATACCCTGGAAGGATTCAATAGTGTATTAGAAGAAGCTTAAGACTGAATCAGTGAGTTAGAAGACAAGGTAGGAAAAAACACCCAAATAGAGGAGCAAATGGAAAAAAAATTAAAAAGCCCAAGTATAGTTTAAGGGAGCTTTGGGAGAATACTAAACGTAACAACATTTGCATCATAGGGGTAACAGAAGGAGAAGAATTGTAGAAATGAATAGAGAACCTATTTGAAGAAATAATGACAGAAAACTTCCCTAAACTAGTGAAGAAAAAAGTCACAAATCCAGGATACTCAAAGTAACAATCAAGATGAGCCCAAAAAGACCCACAGCTAGACACATCATAATTAAAATGGCAAAGGTCAAAGACAAAGAAAGAATCTTAAAGGCAGCAAAAGAGAGACAAAAATTTACCTACAAGGGAGCTCACATTAGGCTGTCATCCAGTTTCTAAATAGAAAAATTATAGGCCAGAAGGGAGTGGCATGAAGTATACAAAGCAATAAAAAGCAAGGGACTGAATCCAAGACTACTCTATCCAGCAAAGTTATCACTCAAAATTGAAGGTAAAATAAAGACCTTCGTGGGGAAAAAAAAAAAAGCTAAAGAAATTTACTACCCCCAAACCAGCACTGCAAGAAATGATAAAGGGACAGTTGTAAGAATAAGAAGAAATAGAGAGAGAGAGAGAGAGAGAGAGAGAGAGAGAGGAACTCAAGTATAAAGAATAAAAATGGGCCCTGGCCGGTTTGGCTCAGTGGTTAGACCGTCGGCCTGCGGTCCTGAGAGACCCGGGTTCGGTTCCCGCTAAGGGCACGTACCTCGGTTGCAGTTTGTCCCCGGCCCTGGTTGGGTCATGTGGGTGGCAGCCACTCGATGTGTCCCTTTCACGACGATGTTTCTCTCTCTCTCTCTCTCCCCCATACTCTATCTAAACAAAAAAAAAAAATGTCCTCGGGTGAGGATAATAAAAAAAAAAAGAATAAAAATGGCAACAAATAAGTAGCTATCACTAATAACTGTAAACATAAATGGCTTCAATGCTCCAATCAAAACACATAGGGAAGCTGAATGGCTAAGGAAACATTACCCATATGTATGCTGTCTACAAGACATCCACTTCAGAACAAAATAGACTCACATGGAATAAAAGTGAAGGTATAGAAAAAAGTTTTCCATGCACGTGGAAATGAGAAAAAAAAGCTGGGGTAGCAATACTCATATCTGTTAAAATAGTCTTCAAAATAAGGCCATAATAAGACACAAAGAAAGTCACTACATAATATTAAAAGAGTTGATCCAACAAAAGAATATAACCCTAGTAAACATATATGCACCCAATATAGGAGCCCCACAATATATTTAAAAACTTCTGGAGGACTTCAAGAGAGAGATTGATAGAAACACAATCATAGTAGGGGACTTCAACACCCCACTGACAGTACTGGGTAGTTCTTGTAGATTAAAATTTAACAAGGAAACAGAGGTCCTAAATGACGTACTAGACTAGATGGACTTAATTGTATTAACAGAACATTTCACCCCAAAGCCGCAGAATATACATTCTTCTCAAGTGCACGTGGGACATTTGCAAAGACAGACCACATGTTAGGACAGACTAAATCTCTACAAGTTCAAGAAGATTGAAATCATATCAAGCATCTTCTTGGATCATAATGGTATGAATCTAGAAATAAATTTCAATAAAAATACTCAAACACATAGACACTAAATAGCATGTTATTAAACAATGAATGGGTTACTAATGAGGTCAAGGAAGGAATCAAAAACTTCCTGAAAATTAAAGAAAATGAACACACAACAACACATAATCTACGGAACACAGCAAAAGCAGTCCTGAGAGAAAGGTTCATGGCATTACAGGCCTACATCAAGAAAAAAGAAAAATTGCTAATAAACTATCTAACCATACATTTTAAAGAATTAGAAGAAGAACAAAAAGAAAAGCCCAGAGGAAGTAGAAGAAGGGAAATAATAAAGACTAGAACAGAAATGAATGACATAGAGACTAAAAAAAAAAAAAAAATACAAGAGATCAATGAAACCAAGAGTTGGTTCTTTGAAAAGATAAACAAGATTAATCAATCTTTAGCCAGATACACCGAAAAACAAAGAGAGAGGACCCAAATAAATAAAATCAGAAGTGAAAGAGGTGAAGTAACACCTGACACCACAGAAATACAAACAATTGTAAGAAAATACTGTGAACAAATTATATGCCAACAAGCTGGACAACCTAGGAGAAATGAACAAACTACTAGACATATACAGTCTTCCAAATCTCAAACAGGAAGAGAGAAAAAAACCTGAACAGGCCAATAACAACTAAGAAAATTGAAGCCGTAATAAATAAACTCCCAGGAAAAAAAGACTGGGTCAGGATGGCTTCACAGGGGAGTTTTACCAAACATTTAAAGAAGAAGAAAAAAAAAAAGACAATGAACTAACACTTATTCTTCTCAAACTATTCTAAAATATTCAAGAGGAAGAAAGACTTCCAAGCTCTTTTTATGGGGCCAGCATAATCCTAACCCCAAAAACAGATAAAGACACTACAAAGAAAGAAAATTATAGACCAATATCCCTGATGAACATAGACATTAAAATCCTCAATAAATATTAGCAAAACAGATCCAGCATTATATTTAAAAAATCATTTACCATGAGAAAGTGGGATTTATCCCAGGGACATAAGGCTGGTACAATATTCACAAATCAATAAATGTGATGTACCACATAAACAAAATGAAAAGTAAAAATATTATAGATGCTGAAAAAGTATTTGACAAAATCTAGCACCCGTTTTTGATAAAAACTCTCAGCAAAGTGAGAATAGAAGGATCGTATCTAAACATAATAAAGGCCATATATGATAAACGTACAAACAATTCATATACAATGGGCAAAAACTAAAAGCATTTCCCTTAAGATCAGGAAAAACACAGGGATGCCCTGTCTTTTGCCACTCTTATTTAACATAGTACTGGAAGTCTTAGCCACAGCAATCAGAAAAGAAGAAAAATGAAAGTGACTTCCTCCTTTCCAATTAGAAAATTGTTAATTGTTATTATTTGTAGATGACATGATACTGTACATAGAAAACCCTAAAGACTCCACCAAAATACTACTAGATTTATTAAATGAATTCAGTAAGTAGCAGGATACAAAATTAACATCCAGAAGTCGATGGCATTCTTATACACAAATAATGAACGCTCAGAAAGATAAACTCAAAAAACAATCCCATTTCCAACTGCAACAACAACAACAAAAAACCCACAACAGTATAAAAAAAAATACCTAGGTATAAACTTAACCGAGGAGGTAAAAGACCCATTCTCAGAGAACTACAGGACTTTGAGCAAAGAAATAGAGAAAGATATGAAAAGTGGAAGCATATACCATGTTCGTGGATTGGAATAATCAACATCATCAAATGTCCATACTACCCAAAGCAATCTACAGGTTCATTGCAATTCCTATAATATACCAATGGCATATTTCACAGATCTAGAACAAATACTCCAAAAATTTATATGGAACACAAAACAATCTCAAATAGCCACAGCAATCTTGAAAATGAAGAACAAAGTTGGAGGGAATCACAATTCCAGATATCAGGTTATACTATAAAGCCATTATAATCAAAATAGCCTGGTACTACTGGCACAAGAACAGGCATATGGATCAATGGAACAGAAGAGAAAACCAAAAAATCAATCCAAGCCATTATACTCAATATTTGACAAACGAGGCAAGAACATACAATGGACTAAAGACAGTCTCTAATAAATGGTGTTGGGCTTTTTTTTCTTTTTTCAACGAGGTGGCAGAGAAGCCTCCCCAGCAGACGCAGAGATGCAAATCTTTGTGAAGACCCTGACTGGCAAAACCATCACTCTTGAGGTTGAGCCCATTGACACCACTGAGAATGTCAAAGCTAAAATCCAAGACAAGGAGGGAATCCTGCCTGACCAACAGCGTCTGATTTTTGTGGGCAAACAGCTAGAGGATGGCCGTACTCTCTCAGACTACAATATTCAGAAAGAGTCCACCCTGCACTTGGTGCTTCGTCTGAGGGGTGGCATCATCGAACTCTCCCTCCGCCAGCTCACCCAGAAGTACAACCGCAACAAGATGATCTGCCGCAAGTGTTACGCCCGCCTGCACCCCCGTGCTGTCAGCTGCCGCCAGAAGTGCAGCCACACCAACAACCTTCGCCCCAAGAAGAAGGTTAAATAAGACTCCACCACCACCTCCTCGGGCCCACAGGGCAGCCTTCTGCCTGAACCCTGTGACTCTGGGGCCTCAATAAAGTTTCTCTTTTGTTGATTGGAAATAAACAAACAAATAAATAAATGAATAAATAAATAGTGTTGGGAAAATTGGACAGGTACATGCAATAAAATGAAACTAGACCACCAATTCACACCATATACAAGAATAAACTCAAAATGGATAAAAGAAAAGACTTAAACATAAGTCATGAAAGTATAAAAATCCTAGAAGAAAAGGTAGGCAGCAAAATCTCAGACATCACATATAGCAGCATTTTCACCCATACATTGCTTAGGGCAAGGGAAATAAAGGTAAAATTTAATAAATAAAACTATATCAAACTGTAAAGTTTCTACACAGCAAAAGAAACCAGGATCAAAATGAAAAGGGAACCCAGTGTATGGGAGAACATATTTGCCAATGATACATTGAATAAGGGGTTAATTTCCAAAATATATAAAGTATTCATACAACTCAACAACAGAAAGACAAACAATTCAATTTAAAAACTGGGTTGAGGACCTGGACAGCTTGACTCAGCAGTTAGAGCATCAGACTGCAGACTGAATGGTCATAGATTTGATTCCCGGCTCTGGCTGGGGTTGTGCTGGAGGCAACCGATTGATATGTCTCTCTCACATTGCTGCTTCTCTTTCTCTCTCTCCCTGCCTTCTACTGTCTCTAAAAATCAATGGGAAAATATCCTTGGATGAGGATTAAAAACAAACAAACAAAAATGGGCAGAGGACTTGAATAGACACTTCTCTAAACAGGACATACAAATGGACAAGAGACATATGAAAAAATGTTCAGTGTCACTAATCATCAGAGAGATGCAAATTAAAATGATATGAGGTATCACCTCACACCTGCCAGAATGGCCGCCATCAACAAATCATCAAACAGCAAGTGCTGGCAAGGATGTGGAGAAAAGAGGACTCTAGTACATTGCTGGTGAGAATGCAGGCTGATGCAGCCACTATGGAAAACAGTATAGCTTCTCCTCAAAAAATTAAAAATGAAACTGCCATTTGACCCAATGAGCCTGAAACACCAATCAGAAAGAATATATGCACCCCCTATGTTCATAGCAGCACAATTTACAATAGCTAAAATCTAGAAACAGCCCAAGTCCCCATCAACAGATGAATGGATAAAAAAGCTGTGGTATATTTACACAATGGAATATTATGCACCTGTAAGAAAGAAAGATCTCTAACTCTGATACGACATAGAAGGACCTGGAGAGTATTGTGCTAAGCAAAATTAGCCATGTAAAAAAAGACAACTATCACTTGATCTCATTTATTCATGGAATATTATGAACAAAATAAGCTGATGAACAAAATAGATCCAGAGACATGGAAAGAGGAAACAGATACAAACCTCAGAGAGAAGGGGGACTGGGGATGGTAAGAGATAAACTAAAGAGCATATATGCATATATGCATAACCATTAAACACAGACAACAGTGCAGTAAAGACAGGAGATGGTGGGGAGCGGGAAAGGGGTCAGTGGGGGAAAAAAGGAGGGACATCTGTAATACTTTCAATAATGATAAATTAAAAAAATAATTACCATCTTTTCATGAAATAAAGGACTTTTTTATACCAAAATAAACAAAAAAATATCCTATGTATTCACAAAGTTGAGGCAAAGTCTTTAACAAAAATAAAATGTTTTTATTGTCATATTTAAATATTTCTAGTATTTTTTCCTCTCATTCAAGGTAAAGAAATACTCTACTATTACTTTACCTCAGAGCTTATCTTTACCAATCTAAAAGGTAAATCTTACAATTCATATATACATCATGGCTTTTGAGACATGTTTAGATTATTATGAGAAGATATTTTTGAAAGGCTGGTAGGCAAAAATAAGAGTTCATTTAATCACTTCAAATGTAAATAAACTTGAACACTGTATTTTTTTCCCATCTAACATTAACAAAATTCTTTTTTTTCCATCAATATAAAAAAAAAATCTCAGGAGAGTTTCTAGTGTTTGAGATGGATGTTTAAAGGATGCATCTCCCCTGCCTTCATAATTGTTAACATAAAGCTTTAATCAAATAAAAATGATTCTGATAATTTCAGAACTAAAACACGAGGAAAATGTTTATTTCTTACACCCTGTTAAGTGAACGAACTCTCCACTTTTCCTTCACAAATCTGCTTCTCCGTGTACATTTCCTATCTGCTAAGTGATATATGATCGGTGTCATCATTAAGTTAGTTTCCACTGTGACCCAATCAATCTCTTACTCAAAAATTGCTATTTGTAATAGGAACTGGGAGTTTTAAGCAAGTGGGGACTAATGTGATTAAAATAATCAGAACTTAGTGACATTATGAAGGATATAAAGAAAAAAAGAGAGGACTCAAAAACCAGTTGTAAAGTAGATACAGTAACAGGTGAAAAATAGTGAGAGCCTAACATATCGAGAACTAAGGTAGTAGCCAGGAGAGTAAAGGAAGAGCAAATTCTGTGGGATTTTAGAGTGAGGCATGAACAGAAATTAGCGGCCATTTGGATATGAAAAGAGAGGAATCTAGAATAACATCTGGGTTTTTGTCTCTGGAGAATGAGGTGGTGGTTACAGGGTATATACTTTGTCAAAATCCATTGAACTTTACACTCAAAATGGGTGCATTTTATCATATGTAAACTTCTCTAAATAAATTAATTTACAAGAAATTTAAAGTATAAAAAATACATATCTGACAGATCACCCCTCATCTATTAGGTCTCCTTTATCTGGTACACTATTTCACATGGGTGCCCATTCAAAAAGGCTTTAATTAAGTCTTCCTCCAACCACCACAGGATAGGATAACTAATTTCAACCTAAGTAGCACAGGCCACAAAGCCAGTAGATGGTCTCTGCTAAAGAGTGTTTTTCTTCAGTGGCTCAGGGTATCTGAACAGAATTACACAGAAAGTTCTTGAGGGCTAGAAATATGCTGTGGCCAGTGCCCTAACTTAATACCTCGCATTTAATAACTTGTTCAGTAAAGTTATGATGAATTGAAATAATTCCAAAGGGCTTATCCTTGATTTAAAAAATTAATAAATATATTTTCTTACATTATTCTTCGAATTGTTTAAAAAATATCATGCTATTCAAGAATCATTATGACCTGATATCTGTCCCCAATTATTTAAAAAGTATACATAATGTGTCCATAAAGAAAGATCTAGAAGACCTGTGAATGCCCATCTGTGTGTGTGTGTGTGTGTGTGTGTGTGTGTGTGTATATATTTAAAGCACAATGAAAAAGAGGCATCAGGAATGGAAGAATCATTGCGATCCATAGCAGGTACTTTCCTGGAAACTCTTCCCAGAACAGCACTAATACTGATACCCAGACTGAAGTCTTTATGCTTTGAATAGTGCTATTAAAGTAAAAATAAATCTGTATTTGATCCACAAGTTTCGTCACAAAATTTCATTTCCATCTGCAAGTCATTTGACCGATGAACATGCCAGACATTTCTAAAAAAGCACTGACAAATGCATATGATTTTAAAGACATTTTCTAATCAAACAAAACAATGCTTTTAAAGTGCAAATACAGGCAAATAAAAGATTATAGCCTACCTAACCAAACAAAATCAAATTATTTAAAAATAAAAATAAAATAAAAAAACCCTGGAGATAGAGTAGTAATTATAGTGGAGGAATGCTAATTTTTTTTTTTAATCCTCACCCGAGGACACTTTTTCCATTTTTTGTTCAGATGGAGTGGGAGAGAGAAAGAAAAACATCGACGTGAAAGGGACACATTGAGTGGCTGCCACCCGCACAACCCAACCAGGGCCGGGGACAAACTGCAACCAAGGTACGTGCCCTTAGCGGGAACCGAACCCGGACCACAGGCCGATGCTCTAACTGCTGAGTCAAAATGGCCAGGGTGGAGGAGTGCTAATTTTAAGAACAGTCTTTCTCTTTTTTAAGAACACAATTGCTTGTCTCTTCAGAGTACCAAGAATGGAAAAGCTTTCTTCCAAACACTGATATTTAACTCATAATTTGACTTTAATATTTTTCCAGATTACTCATACCTATGTTCTTCCCATAGTAGCCTCCTCCCAAAGCCACACCTGCTTCCTGTCTGTTGAAGAACCCATATCGGAATAACCTGTCCCTCCTGACCAAACTCACTTCTCAAACGGAAAAGAAAATATTTTAGTTCATTTTATGCTTACAAAATAAAATACAGAGAAAAGAAAAAATTCCCATATATGTATGTATACCACACAGATCTTTAACTAACAATTCCCAAATATTAGCCAAATCTCTCCAATTAGAAAGTTCTTCCAAATTCCGGTCAAGATGGCGGTGTAGGTAAACGCGGTATCGCGTCCTCCCACAACCACATCAAAGTTACAACTAAACTACAGAACAACCATCATTCAAAACTGCCTGAAATCAAGCTGAATGGAAGTCCTACAACTACGGAATTAAAGCAGCAGCCACATCCAGACTGGTAGGAGGGGCGGAGGCAGACGGGCTGGTCCCAAACCCACGTGTGGCGGATAAAAATCAGGAGGACACCTCGGCTGGGAAGGTCCTCCCTGAGGACTGAGGGGTCCCCGTCCCATACCAGGTGCCCTGCTCAGGCTTCCAGTGCCAGGAAGAGAAGTCCCCATCACTTCTGGCTGGAAAAACCAGCAGAAACTGAGGCTCGGGGAGGCTGAGGCGGCTGGAGCCCAAGAAAGCTCCTCTTAAAGGGCCCGCGCACGGACTTATCGGACTTTCTCCCCCTAAGCTTGGAGGGGAGGCAGCATGAGAGGCACCAGAGACATACAGGGAAGAATTGAGCTGTTTGGCACTGGAGCAAAAGCTGGAGAGGGGGCTTTCTCCGGGACAACTGTGCTGTCAGAGGCCTTTGTTCCTTTGGTGAGCTCTTCCCTGGGGCGGCACACAGCCACCATATCTGGGACTCCAGCAACCTGGCTC